AAAAAAAAAAAAAAAAAAAAAAAAACAAGTGCAACTGTTGTATTTAGCCCGCTATGTCCAAAATGATATCTCAATATGTAATCATTCTTTTTCTTATAAACTGTATATTTCACATTTATAACACATCTCAATTCAGACAAGTCACAGCTCAAATGCTCAATAGCCTCAGATGGCCAATGGCTGCCATCTAGGAGAGGGCATCTCTAGGTGGAGTGCAGTCCATTAAAACTTTGGGTGATGATGGAAATCACCTGCATTCAGACATCGCTGATTAAGTGATTTCTATACACCAGGGCTCGTGGTAAGAGTTTACATGCTCTAGGCCATTTCAGCCTCACATCAACCCTGTATCAGTAGTCTCAACATACAGAGGGTGCTGTGAATCTCCGCCTCCCACTACCACGTTCATATATTCAGATGGCCATATTCAAAATGACCCAGAGAACACAGAAGAAAGAACTTGGTCAAGAGTCTGGGCTAGGCGGCCGCAGACACTGAGGGCTCTGGCAGGGAGACAGCAGGTTGAGACTGAAATCCAGTCAACAGCGATAATGAGGAAGAGATGTCAACACTGAGGGCCAGTGGGAGTTGTACTGGAACTGTGTGTCTGGTCAAATAGGGCTCATTGGTGGTAAGCAACAGAAATAGATTAGGGATTTATTGGAAGGCTACTGGAGAGATTCATAGAACAGCTGCTGGAAAAACTCAACCACTGCCCTCAGAGCAGCAGTCGGCAGCAGGGGTTGAGAGCCATCTCTCTAGAACAAGGTTTTGAGATGGAGTTTTACTCTTTCACCCAGGCCGGAGTGAAGTGGTATGATCTCTGCTCACTCCAACCTCCACCTTCTGGGTTCAATTGATTCTCCTACCTCATCCTCCCAAGTAGCTGGGATTATCAGCACCCGCCACCATGCCTGCTAATTTTTGTACTTTTAGTCAAAATGGGGTTTTACCAAGTTGGCCAGGCTGGTCTCGAACTCCTGACCTCAGGTGATCTGCCCGCCTCAGCCTCCCAAACTGCTGGGACTACAGGAATGAGCCACAGCACCCAGCCACGAACAGGGATTCTTTATTCCAGCAGCACATCAATCGCCTGGTGAGCTTTAAAAGTCCAAATACATAGATGGGCGCAGTAGCTCCTGCCTGTAATGCCAGCACTTTAGGAAATTGAAGCAGGCGGATTGTTTGAGTCCAGGAGTTCTAGACCAGTCTGGTCAACATGGTGAAACCCCATCTCTACAAAAGTTAGCCAGGCATGGTGACACGAGCCTGTAGTTCCAGCTATTCGGGAGAATGAGGTAGGAGGATCCCTTGGGCCCGGGAGGCAGAGGTTGCAGTGAGCCAAGATTGTGCCACTGCACTCTGGCCTGGGCAACAGAGTGAGAGCCTGTCTCCAAAAATGTCTCAAAAAAAAAAAAAAAACCCAAATCCCCAAACATAAATAATTACTGGGGCTAAACATGTTCCTGCGCTGTGGTGTGTGCCCCTCACAGGTGGGAGCCCAAGAGAAATGAATACACGCATCTACTAAAAATACAAGAATGAAGAATAGGAGCTTTATGCATAACCTTGGCCTAATACCAGAAACAATGAACATCAGAGAATGGGTGAATCAATTGTAGTATATTCATGCAGCGGAATGCACACAGGAGCCGACGCACACGCCACCTCAGACGTGTGAGTGGAAACGCCAAGACACAGGAGTGCAGACTGCAGAACCCCATTGATACGAAGTTCCAGAGCAGGCAAAATTAATCTTCTGGCCATAAAATAACAGTTCCCTAGGGGACAAGGTATCGATTAAACAATGGCATGAGGTCAACTCCTGAGGTCCTAGGAATGTGCCTTTAAATTCCTCTGGTGATGGTTACCCAGATGCACACCTATGTGAAAATGCATCATGATCTACACTCAGGATCTGTGCACTCTGTGTGCTTTGGTGCACATGGCACACTCCAAAAGTCATGATTTTTCTAAATCTCTCTCCATGCCCAGGCTGTAGCCCACACAATTAAATCTGCGTCTCTGAAAACAGGTCTCAGGCACCGAGTCGTTTAAACCTTTTTTTTAAAAAAAAAATTTTTTTGAGCAATAACCTAAGCATGGCCTGCAAAGCATCAGTAGTTTTCAAAGTGATCCCACTATCATCATAAGGAACCTGAGATTCTGCAGTTTTCAGAATCTAAAGAACTCATGGTTGGCCCAGTGCTGGGGTTCATGCCTGTAATCCCAGCACTTTGGGAGGCAGAGGCAGGTGGAGCACTTGAACTCAATACAAAAATTAGCTGCGTATAGTGGCGCACGCCTGTAATCCCAGCTACTCACGAGGCTAAGCCAGGAGAATCGCTTGAACCCCGGAGGTGGAGGTTGCAGTGAGCCGGGATTGTGCCACTGCACTCCAGCCTGGGAGACAGAGCAAGACTCTGTCTCAAAGAAAAACAGAACCAAAAAAAACTCATGGTTGGAAAAGAGGCAAATATCAAAGCTGCATTTAAGTTTGATTAAGTGGAGAGTGGGGGTAAGAATTGCACATGAGTGTTTTCAGCAAGGGCCAGCAAGCTTTCTATAAAAGACTAGATATTTTTGGCTTTGCAGGGCATCCACCATTGCAGGTACTTATCTCTGTGGTTGCAGCAGAAACACAGCCATAGGCAATATGTGAACAAATGATCATGCCTGTTCCAACAAAACTTTATTGACAAACCCGGGCCTCGTGCATGGCCTTCAATTTATGTTATGCTCTCATCTGTGTAAGTTGGGTGTCCAGGGATTGAACCTCTGGCAGGAAACACAGAAACTAGACCTAGTGTCCCCCAGAGAGAAAATGTGGGTGTCTGGGAGAAACAGGAAGATTTCCTTTTTTCTGGTTATCCTTAAGTATCTTTGGAATCATGTATTACGTGTTTATTACCTATTAGAAGATTAAAGACAGGACTTCTATCAATGATGGTTTTTTAGACAGCTTCCTGTGATGTCATGCTCACTTTTTTTTCTTTTTTTTTTTTTTTTTNTCACTTTCTTGTCCACGCTAGAGTGCAGTTGTGTGATCACAGCTCAACTACAGCCTCCACCTCTTGCCTCAGCCTCCCAAGTAGCTGGGACTATAGGCATGCACCACCATGCCTGGCTAATTTTTGTATTTTTAGTAGAGATGGGGTTTCACCACATTGCCCAGGCTGGTCTCTAACTCTGGGGCTCAAGCAATCCTCCCACCTTGGCCTCTCAAAGTGCTGGGATTACAGGTGTGAGCCACCACGCCTAGCCCCTGCTGTTTTACCATCTCCTTTTCCAACTGTCCATAAGCCGGACCTACAGGACCCGCCCCAATCTCAGCAGGAAGTGCCTCCCATCATAGCAATGACCTGGCCATGCAGCTTCTCCCTCACCTGCCACGCCACTCTGTCTGGCCTCCTCTTCCTTCAAAGCCTGGAGGAGGCCAGCTCTGGAGAGGAGCCCTCCCGCCTGTCACCTCATTCATCCTTCTTGTCAACGTGTCCCTTGGGTTCTCAGGCCATCATAAAGAAAAGCAGAGGCATCACATGCAAGCAAAGACAGAGTCTGGAGTGCAGAAGACCCGGGTTCAAGTCTGGCTCTGCTGATTTGAAGCCTGT